TTCTCTGTAGAATAGAAGTGGGAAGACCTTTGGGGATAAATATTTGGAATTATCTTCATTTATAATATAGGCAAGAGGGTAATTGTGTCTATCACAGCTCTTGTAGAGAATTCCAGAGACAAAGCCTGTTGACTCATTTGGGTTCTTGATTTAATTCTGTGAATCACTGTTGTGAACTTGGTTATCTGAATGGGAAGAAACAGTAATTTAGATGAAATAATTGCACGTAAAGATCATCTGTGGAAATATGGATTATCTGTAACTTTGTTACCACCTGAAGAGGTGACACTAGAATTAAGTTAATGATAAAGAAGAAACTGTCAGTGGGATTTGAAAGAGGGAAAACATGTCAGGAAGCTGTTGCATTTGAGGTTAAGATGAGCCTTAATTTTGAGTGTGTGGATATGAGCTGTCATGTCAGAAGACAGCTCTGTGCCTTTTGATGTTGAAGGCCATCAAACACTATTAGCAAGTTGTGTATTAATTAGGGGGGAAACACAGCTAGAAGAAGAAAAGGGGGACTTCAGTGATAAACAAGATGTTCATTTAAAATTCAGCATGTTTCTTTTCTTGTTTTAAACTACTCTCAAATTACATTTGCATTTAGGTCTTAAACCATTTGGGTTTCTTTTTTCATATGATGATATAATATTAGGAATTGGCTCTTTTTAAATTAACACTTTAAAACACAGAGAAAATGCAACATGTTTAGAAGTCTAGATGTTTAGAAATTGAAATGTAAAATTCTAAATATTTACGATTCAAACTCAAAAATAATAGTCCCACTCTTAGAAGTAAGTTTTTTTATCTTCACAAGAGAGAGACCACTGACCTCAACCGCTGGTTGAGCAAATACACCACCATTAGGAACTGCGGCATAAGTGGACCACCCCTGTGGACCATTTAACTCGGAGCACAGTTCACGAGGGAGCAGATGAGGCGCTATCCTGGCAGATCAGGCAGGCCTGAGCAAGCTCTCTGCCACCCGTCATGGAAGGGTGATAGTAACTAGAGCTGAGATGTCAGCCGGAGATGGCATTGCCTTGGGAGGATACAGAGTCGTTCCCTGGAGTTCTCCAGAAAGGGCAGGACGTTTGTCAGCTCTGGGTGGGACCGCCGCCCCATCCCCTGAGACAGTTAACATGCCTGAGTTCTGATGGGAAGGTCTCCAAGGGTGAGAACACGAGGGAGGTCTGGTCGGTGGAGCTCACATCCAAAATGACCGTCCAGTCATGAGGAGCAGAACAGAGTGAGTCCTGCCCTTCATTATTTGAGATGCTGGCAAAGAACTCCAGTCTAATGTCAGTTGTCCGGAAAATGCTGGGTCTTCATCATGTGTGGGGCAAGGTGCTTGAAGCTTTATATGTGTTGTCTCATTTATCCCTAGGAAGAAGGTGTTGTATGTACCCTCTCCTCCATTCTATACGTAGAGAAATTGAAGCCTAAGGAAATTAAAGGGAAAACAATGAGAGAGTGAGAAAGGAAAGGAAAGGGGAAGAAAGACACTCGTGTAATGTCACACAACCAGTAGAGCCAATATATGTGTCAAGGTATTAGACTCCAAAGCCAGCCTTCTAACCCCCCTAGATTATGCTATGCAGAGTTGTATTTTCTTCCATTATTTCGTTTTAAACAGGAAAACAAATTAGGACCACTGTATGAAAATAGGCAAGCGAGAGCATAACTCAACCCTTAGCAAGGTGTCTGTGGAAGTAAAATTGACAGTAAGGTTAGGAGGTCAGAATGAAGCTAAAACAAACAGTGGCACATGCAGTGAAAGACAGCAGGTTCTGAACCTCTAACACATTGTAACTGTTTGTGAAATACACTAAGTGATCTGAAGATACACTGGGCACAGTGATCTCAAAAAAGAGCCAGAGCAGTGGTGGATTTGTTGAACGTCGGCTTGACTTAAAAAACTGACTATGAAACTCTCAAATCTTTATTTTGCAATCAGAGAAGCCAGGGCAGTTGAATGCAAGTTGGAGGTGACTTCAGTCTGAAAACAATGGAACTTGAGAAGAATTTTGGGATGTTAATACCTTTAGCCCAACAATGTTAAAACAGTAAATGAGTAGGATAAAGGCTTCAGAGAAAGCCTGTGTCACTCACAGGATGCTCAGTCCTGTGAAGAATGAAGAGAGAGAGAGAGAGACTGAGCCAGGGACAGGCTGGTTCAGCCAAGAGATCTTTTCCAGCCGAGTATTTCTCCATCTCTGGAAGGGAGCACTCAGGGCCCTTCCCCGATCCCTGCGCGCCTTCTTCCCCAGCTGTGTTCCTATCCGTGTGCACCGTACATCAGAGAAAGAAGCACTTCACAGCCACCCCCAGGCCCATTGTTATAGGAAACACACACAGGATACCTGACCCACATTTTGGCAGAAATAAAGATGAAGAACGTGGGAGAGACCCCAAAGCTCAGCGTTTACTTTGGCTATTCACACAGTGTCCTCACTGCTTGTTAATGAAAACAAGCCTTTGTCATAGCAACACCAGCAACCCCAAACATCTGACTCTCCTGGGGAACACTCTCTCCCACCCCACCCCAACAGCGAGCTATTACAGGCTTCTTAGAAGCTTCTAAGTGGCAGTCAAAACATTTTCAGTTAGCATGCACTCTCTCCTGCTAGTTCATCTCCATATTTTTCTTTTACTTTCACCTCATTTGTCCCAAAGCCCTGTTGATGAAAAGTAAATGGCCACACTCGCCCTCCAATGTGGGCAGAAAATTTAGTGCAGGGATTAAGAGCTCAAGCTCTGCCTTTAAAGTGTCTAGTTTCAAATCCTGACACTTGCCCACCTGTGCGACTTTCCCGTCATTCAGAAAACAGGGATGTTAGCAGAGTCTCCTTCCTGGGGTTATTGAGAAGATTAAACGAGAGCACGCTTGGGGAGTGCTCAGCACAGGGCCTGCCACGGAGTAAGTACTTAATTAAGTACAATTAATCTCATGTTGTTGCCTAAGAGGCTTCATTACTGTATTGAGTTTGGCAAGTGTTAGAATCCTGGCCACTCGAAGCTGAAGGGCTGCCTGTAGTGAATAATTGTCTTCTCTGTCCATGGAATTCTCCAGGCAAGAATACTGGAGCGGGTTGCTGTTTTCTTTTCCAGGGGATCTTCCCAACCCAGGGATTGAACCTGGGGCTCCTGCATTGCCGGCAGATTCTTTACCACTGAGCCACCAGGGAAGCCCAGTTATCCCACAGAGAGCGTTACTGGCTCAGCTTTCTGAAGCGGTCGCATCTCTTTTTATAGGAGGGCTGCACTTTGGTGGTGTCCCTTGTGTATTTTGATTGGGAAATGGATCCAGGAGTGGGCTTTTGGGAGTCCTGTTATTTCCTGAACCCATTCTTTTGTAATATATTCAGATGTGGGGATTCTATCATCTTGAGATACTCCTGTAATTGGAAAATTGTCACTCGAGGAGGAAAGTGCTTGTACAAGGAGGGAGGGCCAGAAGGGTCGAGCCTGGCTCACCTCCACTGTGCCCCATGCACTTTCTCCACCCCTGCCACCCTGTGTCTCAGAGATACCAGGGACCCTGGCGAGAACAACGGATCCCACCCCTTCAGTGGATTCTTACCGTCAAAGCAGGTCCTAGCACAGCCTGCCTCCAGATGATCAGGCGGGTTTGCTTTCCTTGTTTCAGATGTGAGGTCCATAGTGTTACAATATCCTTGTTTTTAGAGGGGGTCGTGGGGACTCTGTCATACTCACATCAGGATACGAAATATCAGCAGAAACAGTATTCCTTACACAGATCTATAAATCGTCCTCTCCAAGAAATAGCTGCATGGAAGGGAGAAGCCTTCTAAGACCAGGTCTTTGGTGTCTTTGCAGAGCTTTCCAGAACATACCAAGAGAGGTGGGGGGGGGGGGTCATTAACCCCAATTCATGCATTTTCCCCCCTGTCCTGTCACCATCCCTCCCTCTCAGGGTTCTCTAAGTCTGTGTTACAAAATCCACTCTCTTATACTTTCCCTGGTGGCCGACCATGGACCTTAACTCAGTGACCTTCCATGTGGTTAAGCTCGGATCATGTAACTAACATGAATCAAGTATCCACAAACTGAGTAGTTGTTTGCAGATAGTAAATTCTCATTCCCACCACAAATATTTATGCCTACTCTGTACCTGTGCAAAACGGTGGGCACATACAGTGGTAAGAAAAGAAACCCTCTGAGAGCAGAGGTCATAACTAAAGGTAACGAGCGAGATCGACATGATGATGAAACCAACAAGTACAGCATTATTCATTTTATTCATGAAGGAGAAAGCAGGGTTAATGCCATGAGAGAAAATACCAAGGTCACCAACTCTGGAGGAAGAGAACAGGCAAGGCTTCTTTGAGAAGGTGATATTTAAGCCAAGACTGAAGGAGGGAAGAAAAACACAAGTGAAACGGGGGATGAGGGCACGCTTCTCAGGCCGAGGAAGCAGCAGGGATAAGAACCTGGAGGCAGGGACACGTCCCTGTCCTGTGAGTGATGGCGGGCAGCGAGTGATGCAGGAAAGGCAGGCAGGGACGAGATCCCGAGGCCCTGCGAGCAGTGACTCCATTCTTTGCAGATGCTGACGCCAAAAGAAGGGTAGTGACCGTTCAGAATGTATTCTTCACAGGTCTCTGTGGCCCCTGGGTGCCCAGTGGATTTGAGGATGGTTGAAGGCAGGAACCCCAAAGGGGAGGCCAGGGCAGGAGTCCAGGCGAGCACAGGTGGGGACTGGATGGTGCTAGGCTGCTGGCTGTGGAGATGAAATGCGCTCGATGGTGTTGTTGGGGACACGGAGGGAAAAAGAAGCCCCCACGTGCACTTTGAAGGCTGACTGCACAGTTTGTTCTCACTGACCTTTCTTCCTCGGTTATATTTTCCCTTACTCAGAGAAGTTTCAAGTCTTTCTGTTTAACCAGGTTAAGTCTTTAGGCAAGTGTAGGGACTTCAGCCAGTCGTGATTCGGAAGCCACGGTCTGAAATCTTACATGTCACTCTTTCTTTTACAGCCTACCAGGACTTCCTCCGAAAGCATTTACTCTCGACCAGGCTCCAGCATTCCTGGCTCCCCGGGTCATACTATCTATGTAAGTATCCACTTCCGGAAGAGATACTTCCGGGCCAGGTAAGGTAGCAGATGGTAAATGTGGACTGGATAATCTGAAAGCGAATAATTCAAAATGCTTTCTATTTCTGTTATGCAGTCCAATTTTCATTCTTGTAGATCAGCCATCTCAATCCCATTTTCCTCCAGGCGATCAAATGTTTCTGTGGATGTGACCATCCATATAGAGTGATTGAGTAGATAACCCTATAAAATGCAGTAATGTGATACAGGACTTGAAAAAATGGTTGCACCTAACTTGCATATAGATATTTGGAGATTAATTATACGTTTTATAATCCCAGTACTGAGTGTCCTTAAATTCTGCCACAAAGGTCTTTAAATATTTAGTTTATTAAATATGCAGTTCTTGTTTTTAGCCATCTGGGAGGATTTTTTGACCATCTGTTTGAGCTTTCCCTTCTCTGTCATAAATTTAGGAAATCCTGAATGTTTGCATTCTTCTCTATTTGATGAATTCTACTTAGACTTTTTCCCAAGCTTTTGGTGACTTTTTTTTGAAAACATGAGTATCTGGTATAAATAGGCAACTTTATTTTTTAAATTTATTTTATTAACATATAGTTGATGTACAATGTTGTATCTATTTCTACTGTACAGTAAAATAATTTAGTTATACATATGTACACATATTACTATTCATATTCTTTGCCATTATGGTTTATCACAGGATATTGAATATAGTTTCCTATACTGTACAATAAGCCCTTCTTGTTTATCCATTCTGCATATGAAATTTTGCATCTGTTAGTCTCAAATTCCTAATTCTTCCCATCCAATCTCCCTCCCTCTAGGCAATCACAATTTTGTTCTCTATGTCTGTGAGTCTTAAACAGGCAACTTTATAAACAGTGTGACCATGCTAAGCAAAGTATTTTTGGATTTGTTTATTTTTAAGATTTTCACTTTTTAAACAAGACATGAGACGCACTAACCGCAGTTCCTCAAAGATGGCAGAATGATTTTTCTTTCTGTTTAACTTTGGCAGGCAAAAGTGGACAATGAAATCCTGGATTACAAGGATTTAGCGGCCATTCCCAAGGTCAAGGCCATTTATGACATTGAACGTCCAGATCTTATTACCTATGAGCCTTTCTACTCTTCGGGCTGTGATGACAAACAGGAGAGGCAGAGCCTGGGGGAGGTAATAAATTCCCAGAAGTCGTGAATAGCACAACTTCTTTCTCTTTTGCCACACGTATAAAAACTACTGATTGGAATCGAGATAAGTCAGAGAGTCCTTCTCATTGCTCACTGTTTGCAGGCTTCTGTAGCAGGTGCTCTGAGGCAGTCAGAAGCCCATTGCACCATCCCCTCCCCTTGGGAGGTTTGGAGAGGTGGGGGAGCAGACCAACCACAGGAAACAACAGTGCAGGGCGAGTGAGCATCAGGACCAAGTTGGAGGGTAGAGAAGCCAACATGCTGGGAGGGGAGCTGAAAGTGGGGAGAGTCTGTGAGCAGAGGGGGTCGGGGGGAAGGGTCCTCGGGGGTGAGGGGGTAGCCTTGGGGTGAGCTGAAATACATTCATGGTGATCGTGCGGAGAGAGAGCACGCCCCCTAAATTTTAACAACTGTGGTTTCCAGCAGCGTAAGATAATTATATGTGCAAGAAAAGAAAGCATAGGGTCACGGTACAGTGCAGTGGTATGAGATGGGCTTCTGGAATCAAGTTACCTGGACTTAACCCAGAGACTGCACTTCTGTTGTGTGACTTTGACTGTGAGACACGCTTTATAATCCTAACTTCTTTGTCTGTAAAGCAGATAATGACAGAATCTATGTATATACGTACATATGTGTGTATATATTTACATGTATATACACATATATATCTTTAATTTTTTTTATTTTTCCAATCTGGGTTTGTATTCCAGAGCATAGCTCCTGGTTGAAATGATCCCTTGCGTGGGAAGTGGTGTCTGTTTTCATGTAGTGCCACCTAGTGGTCACATGCTGTAACTGCATCTGCAGCCTTTGAAGTGCAGGTTGATTGATGGATTGGCTTGAGTGGTTCCGTTGCCTTTGCAGGGCAGAGTTTCACAGAGGATAAGGGGCAAAGGAAGGTTCCTGAACAGAGTTCACAGAAGCTGGTCCTACAGGAAGTGAATGAGAATTGCCTAATGTTCAAGCCATACAAACAAGGGGAGGCGAGTTGCTTTATGGTGTTATGGGCCCAGATGTTTGAGCTTTGAAGTGAACATTTCTGTGTTTGGAACCAGACTCTGATATTTACTCTGTATATGACTTTGGAAAAATTGCATGTTTCCATCTCCTTATCTGTCAACTCAAGATAATAGGGACACCTATCATAGAGTTTTTCTGTAAGGATTAAGTGAAATATTTAGATTCTGGCACATAATAAGTACGCAACAATAACCTAGAATGATGGCCTATGGGTTTCTCTGAGCATAGAGTCTGGACTAGGTGGATACCCTCCAACCATAAATCAGATGTGTTCATGAACTCGTCTCCAACCCATGAAGCTTGCAGCTTAGACAAGTTTGCAAGCTATTTCGTTATCCTTTCAATTATTAGCACTTCTTCCATAGAATCCATATACTGCCATTTTAGAAACACTGGAGAAATAAGCTTGGAGTTCTGTATAGCCATCTGTGCCTCCAGAAAGCAGATCAGACCAGACCACGGGGCTCAAGGAAGTCTGGAGTACAGATGGCCAGCGACTTCTTGTACACTTGGGAAAGAAGGGCAAATTCTGAAACTGAGAAATCCGCCACTGGCCGTGTTCTTCAGAACACTTTGTTTGCATTTCATTTCTATTTGAAAGTTTTTTTGCATTTTTAATTGTGAACATTTCATTCATTCATTCATTTAGGAAATATTCATTGGGTACCTAATATGTGCCAGGAGCTGCTCCAGTCGCTGGGAACACTTAGTTGTAAATGCATGGATTTCTTGCCCTCATGGAACTTGCAGTGGAAAGTGGGAGACAGAAAATAGACAGACGGATACAGAACGTAATATTACAGGGTGATATTGCTTTGACAGAAAATGAAGCAGAGTAAGGAGAAAGTACACGGGGGTCGGGGGGTGCTGGGTTGCTGCTTTAAGTGGGAGGATCGCAGAAGGTACTGGGTGGTAATGCATTTGAGCAGAGGCCTCGCTGAAGATGGGGAGTGAGCCCTGCAGGTGTCTGAGTGGAAAACACTGCTGGCAGAGGACACAGCACGTGCAAAGGCCCTGAGGTGAGAGAGGGCTTGGTCTGCTGACTGCCTCGAGGAATCCTAGAAAGATGGAAGCTGGAAGGTGAGTGGTGATGAGGTTGTCAAGGCCTCCTGGGGAAGATGCCACTGAGGCGGTCACCATAACATATTATGTGATTAAATACTGTGGTTATAACTTAGTCAGCAGTTGTGCTTACCAAATTCTGTGTTTCAGTAGACACTGTAACTCATGGTGGTAAACCATGAATATAGAGAGGAAATCATTCCAGTTTCTCTCACTTAATTACCTAAAAGCATTACAGCATATTTGTCAAAACCCGTGGTTATCAGGCAGACACGTGTGTCCCAGTCCCCCAAGGGCTTTGTCATCATGTACCTGTCTGAGCCCGACTCTCAACCACTGAATCAGAAGATGGAGGACAGGCAAGGGTGCCGGCGTGTGTAGTTTGAATAATGTTTCCGGATGATTCTGATAGGCAACTCTAATTAAAATGAGTTAACATTGTGACTTTCTCTTTTATTCTTCCAGTCTCCAAGGACCTTGTCTCCTACTCCGTCAGCGGAAGTAAGTGCCATTTTTGAAAATTTTAATGGGTGGAATTGGAGAATTACTTGGACCTTTCCTAGACTCACATTTTTGCAAAAAGATATTAAACAAAAGAACAGAAAAACTGCGCAAGATTATGATGAATGTAGCACTCCTTACTGTAAGATATGACTCTAAGACACAGAAGTATATTTCTTTTTAAATGGAGACAAGGGAATAAAACCAGCTGTACACTGCACCTCTGAATGGTAGGAAAGTGTTTGCAGGGAGTGGAACTACTTTTCCCTACGTTGGGCTCTCTCTCATCAACCATAATTAATTGATCTGATTCCAAACCTACTAGATTATCTGAATTGGCCAACCGTGGCCATGGTGTTTCTATCAGCAGAGCCATCTTCTTGGAAGACCAGCCCTCTTAGTCTAAAATCAATAGTCTTGTCCCCCTTCCCAGGGTAGACAGACCGTATAGTGGCTTTTATCAAGTTCACCAGCCTGTCTGTTCCCTTGGGAATAACCTCCTGAGTGTCTGGATCACATAGAGCTGTCAGTAATTGTTCCATAGCAAGCTATGGATCCCATGTCAACCCAATCATGCTCTTCCCTTCTGTAGCATCCAACACCAAAGACACAGCTCCCAAATGATTTATACTCCCAACCCATGTTATTAAATGTTCTTCAGGAAGCTGGTGATACTGATTTACAAAATGAAAGAACACCTTCACACTATACCCCAGTCCCCGAAAGTCTTGGTTTTGCCCTCATCCACATTGACTTACCTACGTGGTGACCAGAAGCCTTAGAAGCACTTCCTATTGTTCCTGTGTAATTTTTCTCTCAGAGAGTAGCTTTGAAACTAGCAGCTTGAGCTCAGACCAACTCAAATCTGAGCATAGTCCAGCACCCAGGTCCAACCCAGCACTTTCTTTCATGTAAGCTGTTACAGATAATAACAAAGTGATTGTTTGTTCCAGCATGCTTCTTATTATTCTGCATTTCTTTATGCATCCAATGAGCAAACTCCTCAGGGGTTAGGTCTGCCCCCATCTACGAATAGTAATAATAATAAAGTCAGTAGTCTTGTCTTAAAGTCAAGTAACTTTCTGGATAGTCTATATAAAACTGGACCGGCCTTAGGTAATCACTATAATTTGAGATGGTACAATCTCTGTGGTATTGGGATGGCTTATACCAAGTGCAATGAATTAATTTCTATGAGAATTTACAACTGAAGTTATGAAGCATTTGTTTCTGTTACTGACCACTTGTGAGACTAAGGCACATTACTGTGGAAATTCTGTTTTGTTGTTGTTTCAATTTATTGTTAGAACCAAGTAGGATCAAACCAAAGCTTTTTTGCCTCTTGCTCTTGCATTTCATACATCCATAGTTATTGAGATTTTAATTTAGATCTTTTTCATGCCTTTTTTCAAACTTTCATTTTTATTGTGCTAGTAAAAACTTCGACAACAAATTCCTAAAGTGTAAAACATTCTTTGTACTCATCTAATTCTTTTATGTTATGGTTGTGTGTATGATTTTTTTTGAACTTTATACATACAGTATTCTTTAGATTTGGACATGGTGTGATACTACTGTATTAAATTGATATGCCATAGCTTAACTGTACCCGTTTGTTGAGCACATAATACAAAGCTTTGTCTTTATAAATGGTGACATTATAAATATCTGAGGAAATTTTTCCACTTAAAGATCATTAAAAAATATATTTTTAGGATTTGCTTCTTAGAGATAGAATTATTGGATCTGAGGCCACCACAAGCTTATTCTCCAGGAGAATCTACTTAAAATGTCCCCAGATCAATATCATAGATGGTGTGGGTAGGTGGTTGGATCCAGGGATGAGATTAGAGTCAGGAGGCTTTCTGCAACAGGTTCCACCTCTACGAGCTACACACCTGCCCACAGGTCTCTTAGCTGCATGGAACCTTCTGGAACGTCCTGCGTTTGTGGAGAAGGGAGGGAATACCACGTGTTCTACCTTCCTTCTGATGCAGGTCTAATGATACAACCTATGTGAATGCACTTTGTAAAACTGAAAAGCACCGTATAAGTGTGGTGGTCGGAATTAATCCCTCTTTTCCCAGACCTCTGTCAACATTGGAGTTTATCATTTTAACATCTTAAAATCTTGGTAAAGGCAAGGACCACAGGTTTTGAACAAAAGGAGTTACCCATGGAATGTTTGTTTGCATACCTATTTGAGGAACATGCCCCTAAAATGTGTACATGAACGGGTCGACGCGACAGTTCTGGGGGACTCCGGTCCAGCTTGACTTCACTTGAGCCTCACAGCAGTCTGACTATGTGTTGTGCTCCCACCGTCTCTCACTTTCCTCCAGGGGTACCAGGATGGGCGGGACCGGATGATCCACCGGTCCACCAGCCAGGGCTCCATCAACTCCCCGGTGTATAGCCGCCACAGCTACACTCCAACCACGTCTCGCTCTCCTCAGCATTTTCACAGACCCGGTAAGGGCACCTATTCCCAGGATTCACTCTGGATAATCCTCTGTGTTTCTGTGTGATTGTTTTCCCCACCACTGGTAGTGTATTTAAAAATCTGGCTGCCTGCCAAATCTATCTTCCCCCTCTCCCCCCAAAAAAAATCAAAATCTCCTATCCCATTACAGTTTGTTATTTCTTTTCTTAAAACAAGACCCATTTTATGGTTATATTCATTATGATTTACTGAATCATTACATTTTGACAGTAGACAACAAAAAGTAAAGCAATTTATATTTTTAAGACCTGAAGATAATCTCAGCACTCTGAGACTTAAAATGGAGATCTCCAAACTATATGGTGATGTGCCTTTTAGGCTTACCAGCATCATCTAAAATCCAGTGTTAGTCATTTATTGATGGGTTTGTTATATTTCCCCAGGCACATGGTATTACTATGGATGCTTGGTTAAGAACACACTAGAAGGAAATCTCATATACAAGCCCAGGATTGTATTTGGTAACTTTTAAGGTGCCTTCCAACCTAAAATTTTGAATCAGACTTGGAACCCATAAAAGCACTAGAGATGAGCTATGATGGAGACTATTAAGAGTAATGATCTTCATTTGACCTTTATCTCTGCAAAATTTTCATATTTTCATATTAGTGGGTGTCTACTATGTGGACACTATGTCTACTATGTGGAGTAGAAAAAGAATAAAGATCTTATCACAGAAGATAGATAAATAAATTCACAGAAGAAATAAATTCAGCAAGGAAGATTTGGCTTTTTAAACAAACTTGGTGATGATGCATGTCTACAAAGACTTCATTTTAAGTCTCTTGCTTTTGTGCAGGCTCATAAGCCCATTCATATGGGAACTTATTGTATAAAATAAAACCAAAGGAATGAACTGAGTATAAAAAGGCTGCAATCTTCAATTTAAAGCCAGAAATTTAGTGCTTGTAGAGGATTAAATTTTTACTCTTGGATCCTTCAATAATATATAGTTTTCTCTAGGCTCCTAAACATTTACTCAGTATTTGTTGAGTTCCATTAAAGGAAAATTTTCAGGAAAGGAATTCCTTTTATTTGTCATACATTTATATCCATTTTATTCCTGGGTTTGGATTTAAGCCCTTATCTGCCTGGGTGATGAGAAATCCTTTATGCCACCATCCCTACATGTGGGCATACCCTGAGGTCACTGAGGCTGCAGCCGTGACCTTGTCGAATGATATGGGGTTGCTGGGAAACTGTCCGAGAGACCACTGGATAGCCAGGGAGTGGTCAGTCAGGGACTTAGTTTCCCCAGAAGGCCATGTCCTCATGGGGCAGTAGAAAGTGTTCCTGTGTTCCCGTCATCGTTCTGATGCCAAGAACCTTCAGAACATTTTGTGCGTCCTAAGCACTTCTTCTCCCCCTTCATGATACATTATGGACCTGTGCGATGCCAGTTATTAAGATTATTTTTTCAAGATTTTTCATGACTCTGCTAGCACAGTCATGGCCAACACGGAGCACCTCAAAGTATCCTCTCCGTAAGTTCTAGATGCCAGAGAGTCATGCACGCCTCTTGGTCTGGTTTAGCTTAATGGTCCATAACTAAGTTTCCAGCTCATCAGTGCCTCCACTACCCAATTCTCAGCATCATGGGTAGCTCTTTGCCCCCCAGGGGACACAGGCAAGTGCAAAATAAAATTAAACTTCCTAGTAGGAGAAGTTTGCCACTTAGAAAGAAAAAAAAAAGAGAATCTGACCCTGACATATTGATATGGGGTTGGCCAAAAAGTTCATTTGAGTTTGTCATCTTAGGATAAAACCCAAATAAACTTTTTTGGCCAGCGCAATAGTTCTTTGCAAGGTTCTTGAAACAACTGTCACTTTTAAACATACATGTCAGAGGATTCCGTTTTGTCAGTTGCCTTTTTAAAAACAGCCATGGTTGAGTCTAAGTGGCATGCCCGGTCCCGACTCAGCGGTCGCGGGTGTCATCCGCCCAGAATGCCCTGGTGGCCGTTTCCTCCCACGAAAGCCACTTATCCTCGGAGAGTGACTGGACTGACCTGAACCCGTTGGCAGACTCTCCCCACTGTGCCTAACCGCTCGCAGCCGCCTTCTTAACCCCTGTTCCTTCCTCCGTTTTCAGACTCCTGATTAATGTTCTTTGTTTTTTTTTTTTTTCCCCTTTCCCTCCCTTGGAACGATGGCGGCGTCCCTGCTCCTGTGTTAATTTCTGCTCTTCTTTCTGTCTCCACCCCGCCCCGCCCCGGGCCTGGCACAGAGCTGGTGTCTCCTGGTGTGCAGAGGTCCTTCCTGCGCACCAGCAGCCTCAGCTCCGCCCACAGCGACTCCCGCCCCAACTCCCCATTCCGACACCACTTCCTTCCCCATGTGAAAGGTAAGGAGGCAGGCTTCTCCAGGCAGCACCCTGCAAAGCGGAGATTTATTAGCGCCCTGGGAAGGCTAATAAGGTGCATCTCCAAGAGTCAGCCCCCAGCTTCGGACCTCTCAGCATGCCTGCGTGCGTCATGACTTCACACCCGGCCGTGTCTTAGAACTGGCATAGCATCTCTCCTTGGGAGAAATATGTCATTTCTAAGGGCTCTGGACGAAGTAACAGGAAGTACGTTGGAGACCTTAAGATTGCTTCTCTCCTGCTTAGGAAAAAATATATATTATTATTTTGCTTTTCTCTGTGTTAGAAGCAAAATAGAATATATATCTGGGGAAGTTTCCTGGTTTCAATATGTGATATGGCTCAGCAAAACCCAACAGTATTCAGCAACAAGGGTTCCAAAGTTGTCTTCATGATGATAAGCCACGTAACAACATTAAGATGTTTGGACAGTACGAAAGACCTAGGGCCACATAACTGAAATTTCTTTCCTTGAGCCAACTCTTAGGGTGATCCTCCTTTGACTTGTCCTGATGTCTGCATGATGGAGAAGAGGGGCTTTGCCTTCTGTTTTCTGTTCCTGCCCATCTCTGCCCTTCCCTCTGTGTCGTTCCCATTGTGCCTCAGTAGCAGTCCTCAATTGGAGTTCTCAGTTCTCCTTACTTGGTGGGGGAGCCAGGAGCCACAGAGGGATCATGAAGGGGCCATAATTTAAAATACGTTGGAGCTCCCAAAAGGATGCTGACTTCTTCTGTAGCCTTGATTTGAACCAAAGTAACTGAAAAGAATATTGGGTTAGCCAAAAAGTCCATTTGGATTTTTCATAAACTGTTATGGAAAAACCCAAACAAATTTTTTGGCCAACCCAAGAGCTGAAGGAGAGAGTTGCAGGCAAGCACAGATGTTGTCATGGGTCTTAAGACAGACCTGAAGGATTCTAACCCTGAGCTCCAAGATGTCACATCACTAACACTTTCTCGAACAGCCTAAATGTTGTGCCCTTTGACTGAATTTTGTTTGCAGTCTGCCCAACCTTTTTACTCATTTGGATTTTTAGGACTCAGTTGTTCAGTCAGTTCAGTTCAGTCACTCAGTCATGTCCATCTCTGCGACCCCATGGACCGCAGCATGCCAGGCTTCCCTGTCATCACCAGCTCCAAGAGCTTGCTCAGACTCACATCCATCAAGTCGGGTGATACCATCCAACCATCTTGTCCTCTGTTGTCCCCTTCTCCTCCTGCCTTCAGTCTTTCCCAGCATCAGGGTCTTTTCAAATGAGTCAGCTCTTCGCATCAGATGGCCAAAGTATTGGAGTTTCAGCTTCGGCATCAGTCCTTCCAATGAATACCCAGGACTGATTTCCTTTGGAATTGTCTGGTTTGATCTCCTTGCAGTCCAAGGGCCTCTCAAGAGGTTTCTCCAACACCACAGTTCAAAAGCATCAATTGAGTTGAGTCCAACTTAGTTGAGTCCTAAAATATGAATTTCCTGCCCCATCAGTAAGCAGTTACTTTGTGAGCATGCTATTTTTTGCATTTTCTAGGCTGTGAAAATAACATTGTTGATATACCTATTGAAGACACACACCACTTGCCTTTAGCAAAGACATCTGTCTTTTTCAGCAGGCACAGCACTTTCTGAAATCCTTGACAGATTATTTGTACCAGTTTTTCCCAGAGCACAGAGAGCCTTATTCCTGCTCTCCACCCTGAACTCCTTTCAGTGGGTGTTGAAGGTCAACAGATGCAGCAGCCCATGGTTTAATCCTTGTGGAGGTAGATGGCAAGTGCCAGTTTGTAGTTGGCAAGGTGAAATGCCCTGGTGTATTATAGGTGGGCTTCCTCGGTGGCACGGTGGTAAAAAATTTGAATGCTAATGCAGGAGATGCGAGTTCAGTCCCTGGGTCAGGAAGATCCCCTGGAGAAGGAAATGGCAACCCATTCCAGTATTTTTGTCTGAAAAATCCCATGGACAGAGGAGCCTGGTGGGCTACAGTCGATGGGGTCACAAAGAGCTGGTCATGACTGAGCACACACGCCTCCTCATAACGAGCATTCCGATCTGTGCATCTGTGATTTCCCTCTCAGCATGATGCTCTTTGAACACTTCCGGTTACATCACTCCTCGCAGTATCCCCACAGTGATTAAAGTAGCAGGCGGGAGGCGTGGGGGTAGATGAACAGCTGAGGCCCTGGTTAAGTAACCCGGCCAAGGACCCTCAGCTTGGAAGCGGCAGCACCAGGACTAGAGAGGCCCCAAGCCTTCTCAACCTTCATTCCTATTAGAGGGATGTGTTTCAACATAAATATACTTGAAGAATAATTTTTAAAGCAAATTTTTACTTTGCATCCCTTTTTCACTAGAAAATTTCATTCTTATGGAGGCTGAAACAGTTATTTGAGTCATTTAAATTACAAAATTAACAAATGTGTACTTTTCAATAGAAACACCAACTAGTTATTAAAATTTCAGTACCTGAATGTACCTAAATGGTGCTTTATTAAAAATACAGATATGCAGTCTTTTCTGTTTTCAGTCTGAATTCAAAGTACACAGTCAAATAGTATAGGTTTAAATCCTAAAAAGCCTTGGCTTGTCTCACACTTACACTTTAAAAATATCTAATAG